GAATCCCGTTGAAGCCCTGATTTTTTCAGGCTTGTTCTTTCCAATTGCTTAAATTGGAAAATTAACTGCGATGATCATTCTTCACTCTCATCTACAACTGCAGTTCATATATGAATTATTTCATATAAACTTCACATACAGTAGACAGGTTATACCCTACAGGTCTTAATCCTTGCAAGTCTTAAACAGGCTTGGAAGGGGACCAGAGGTCAACTTATTGTTAATTTCATATTTCAAGTACCAGTAATCGGGAGTACTTATTATTAGCCAGAGGAGACTGGGGGTTTTGACAGATGGTCAGACATTTCCTGCTTGCTGCACCTGAACTCACTGGGTTTAATTATTAACAATTCTGTTATCCAAAGTTAGTCCATATCACCTTCCTTTTTCAGGCCTCTTAGACCCTTTCCACTCCATTTCTAATGACCTTCCTGCTTTTCCTCTGAGTAAAAGAATTCATCTGCTTATAATATTGTTGCTTGTTAAACTTCCAGGTTGGTATTGGTAAAGATAGCACATTATATGCACTGGTAGAAGGATTTGTGAAATTCCGAAGTGAACGTGCTCCTCCATACCATTGGTGCTTAGGACAACAAGAACCATTTGAAGAGAAAAAGTATATCAGTGTCATGCCAAGGGAGCCGTTCAAGGGACCCAAGCTGGTTCCAGTTCGAGATGTATATAGAATTACTCCATGACAATATGATATGAGTGTACATTTTGATATTAAATTTTCAAACTAGCTTAGTGACTCTGAGAATCTGGCTTCACTAAGAAAGATTTGTAGTCTGTTTGGAAATGTGTTTATATTTAGCAGAGATGTCCATTCACTCATAGTATTTGCGATTACTGGTCGTTTAGCCCCCAAGTTGATTAGCCCCTAACCAGTTAGCCCCCAAACAGAAGTCGATGGGGACTAATCGACTTCTGGTTGGGGGCTAACTAGCCAGGGACTAATCGAATTGGGAGCTAAATGACCGGTGACCTCAAATACCATGAGTGAATGGACATCTCTGTTTACATCTCCTTTTAGGCTCAACTGCATGTTTTCCATTATTTAGAATCCTGGGAAGGGTTAGTTTTTCACTCACAGAGTAGTAAAAGGATTTGAAAAGGAAAGGACTTTCACTCACTACCATAATTCCCTGCAGGCCATAGAGGAAATCAGCCATTTGTTTTCTGTCAAAACTTTTAAGATTCATTCATAGCTCAAAAGAATAGATCCAATTAGTTTTTCAGTAAAACAGTAGAACGAAAACAGCCTAGAATTCACGACTTCAGGACAAATTGTAAACATTGTAAATACGCATCTATAATAGTGATTTCGGAGGCACTTGTTGCTTCAGTTTGTTTTCTCTTCCATGTCTGTCATCAGACAAAATGAAATAGCACTTTAAGTCAATCGATCTGTTCCCAATGAATAATCTCTCGCAAAATCTCGCAGTAAGTTCATAAACCGTAAACCCCAACTGATTAACAATTTGATCTATTGGAATAAAAACGTTCTCTGGTTAAAAATATATTAAAAACATAAGCTTTCGGCTATCAGTCTAGCCTTTAACGAATATTCGTTGAAGGCTATAGACTGATAGCCGAAAGCTTATGTTTTAAATATATTTTTAACCAGAGAACGTTTTTATTCCAATATGTCTTATCCTGGTTACAGTACTATTTTAACAATTCGATCATTATATTAATCTAATGACTTTGTAGAATTCTAGCCTGAATTATAAAAACATTTTTGTAATAGAATTCTAACTACTGCGAATAACGATAAATAATTACTTCTCTACTACTTGTGGTTTTTTTCAAAACTTGTTTGTTCTTTCATCTTAAAACTTGATTTGAGATGTTTTTTTTCCTCTTGGATAATAAAGGATTTACAATGAGAAGATTCCGGTACAGGCTTATTGTAACGAATGCCCAGTTGAATTAGCAACGTTTACTACCAAGACTATTTTCAAGATTCACAAACTGACAACTGAACTTAAAACGATAAGTAGGGAAACAAATTAGAGATTATGTGAAGTTTATATGAAATAATTCATATATGAACTGCGGTTGTAGATGAAAGTTTTCAGGCTTCTTTCCAATTGCTTAAATTGGAAAATTTACTGCGATGATCATTCTTCACTTTCATCTACAACCGCAGTTCATATATCAATTATTTCA